TCATACTGCTCCCGATTCTTGGAATAAACCAAGATGTTATCAATGAAAACTATCACAGACCAATCCAACATCGATCTACACATGCGATTCATGAGATCTATGAACGCGGAAGGAGCATTGGTGAGCCCAAAAGGCATCACCACAAACTTATAATGACCATATCGCGTCCAAAAAGCAGTCTTTTGCACATCCTCCTCTCGGACCCTCATCTGATGGTAACCCAAACGCAGATCGATCTTGGAGAACCAAGATGCTCCTTGAAGCTGGTCAAAGAGGTTGTCAATCCTTGGAACTGGGTAACGGTTCTTCACAGTTACCTTATTCAGCTCCCGATAGTTTTATACACATCCGATATGACCCATCCTTCTTTTTCACAAATAGTATCGGGGCTTCTCTGGGCGAACTACTCGGTCTGATGAATCCCATGTCTAACAGCTCCTGCATCTTAATAGACAAATCCTGCATCTCAGGAGGAGCCAATCGATACGGTGCCTTGGCTATCGAAGCTGCACCAGGGACTAGGTCGATCCTGAACTCCACCTGCCTCTTCGGAGGTATCCCAGGAAGCCCTTCTAAAAATACATCCACATACTCTCGTACCACTGGCACATCACTCACCGTCTCCTGACCCACCTCTCGGGTATCCAAAACATAAAGCTGGTCCACGCCGTGGCCTCTCACCCTAAATCACCAGCTCTCCCCCACTTGGGATCTTGATCCGAACCAACTGTTGTGCACAGTCGATCACTGCCCAATTGGGGCTCAACCAATCCATCCCTATGATAACCTTGTCCCCCCGCAATGATATGGAAACCAAACCTACCAAGTGGAGCTCCTCATACAACCTCAGAACACAATCTCTGGAAACCTCTGACGCATGCACTGACTGGTCGTCCATACTCTCGACCTCTAGAGGGAAATCTAACATGCCCGAAGACTCATGAAACCTCTTGCTAAGCGCAAGAGAGACAAATGATCAAGTAGCACCCAAATCAAACAACACCTAGACCAGGATACCGTTCACATGGAATGATCCTAAACAAAACATATAGCATAATACATCAATATCACAAGCGACATATAATAAAATTTAGAGAAAATAGCCATACCCGTCACCACATCGGGTGCGGCGTGTGCCTCCTCGGCTGTCAACTAGAAAGCTCGGCTCCTCACCAATGGAGCCTCTGACTTGACCTTCCGGCCATCCGTAACCCGTGTAGTCACTGGAGTTGGCGCCACCACTGGTACTGTTGCTGCTGCTGTCAACCTGGGGTAGTTGGCCTTTTTATGGCCCCTCTGATTGCAATGAAAGCAAATCAGATCCAAAGTCTGAACAGTGGGGGGCAGGAGCAGTACAATCCCTGCCAAAATGCCTCGTCTCTCCGCACTTGTATCAGCCTGATGATCCTGCTCTACTAGCTCCCTCATGCGACCTGTCGCATTTCCTGCAGTGGCTCTGGCCTGGCTGGCCCTTCGACCTAGCATCGGATCCCTTGGGTTTCTTCCCTGAAACCCCAATACTCTGCTCTATCTCTGCCTTCCTCTTCCTTAAGTGCTCTAAGCCAACCTCTCTCTCCCCTCTCCCTGACGATCATGGACTCCAGAGTCGGACCGGCTGAGAAGCTGACATGCTCTCAGATATCAGCCTTCAACATGTCATGATAGCGGGTCCTCCGCATGTCCTCATCTCCTTCATACTAAGGTACCAACAAGGCCCTCTCTCGAAACTTGGCGGTGATCTCCGCCACTGACTCTGTAGTCTGTCTCATATCAAGGAACTCCCTGGCCAACTGCTGAAGCTCCATAGCTGGCACAAACTCAACCCTGAACATGATCACAAAGTTTGACCAAGTCATAGCCTCAATTGTTGGGGCTCCCAGCGAGTCACTGACTGACTCCCACCAATCCCTAGCTCTGTCCCTCAAACAACCTGCAGCAAAGCGAACCTTCAACCCCTCCGGGCAGAAGCTCGTCAACTGCGCAGATTCGATGTTTGTGATCCATCTCCTGGCAGCAATGGGGTCCTTCGTGATGGTTTTTATCCAAAAGAACATCCTATGTGCTCATGCAAACCCTAATGCTTGGATCTAGGTTTCTCTATTATACATGCAATTCATCCAAGACTCAAGAACCCTAATCTAGCATATGCATTTCGAAATTATCACATAAGAGCAGATCTAGATGATTACCTCTTGTGGAATGGCTTGAATCTTCTTATCCTTGGAGCTTAGATTCACAAGTGTCACTCCTCTAATGGCTTACAAACACCACAAGCAAGAGAATGACTTATGAGAAAGAGTAGGAGCACTAGAAATGACCTAGGGTTCTTCTAAGGGAGTTCCACACGTTTTTGGGGCTATATAGGTCCTTATATAGTGAGGTAATTAGGGTTATCAGCTAGGAAACCCTAATTTGACTGCTTAGGCCCTAAGCAGCCCATGGACTCCCTTTATAATAGCCCTTAGACGAATTCCTTATGGGCTTCCCATAGAAGTTTTCCAACATATGTTCTAAGGTGATCCATAGCCAAATTGCAACTATCTTATAATTACAATTCCAGTCCCCTAAGTTTAATTAATGTCTTTTAGTCTCAAAACTAATTCTTAATTAATTCTTGACTAATATTAATTAAACAATATGATTTCTCCTTTAATATATTATTCATATAATATATTAATAAATCATAATTAATCCCATTTCTCCATAAATCATCCTATCAAGTTGCTTTGGTGAAGACAACCCAAAAGACCATGCACAATCGAGTCAATTACATACCAAATATAGTTACGGGCTTAGACACTAATCCAACACTTCGCCCAGTGAAGGTCTGGTGCACCACTCCCCCGGAAGTCCTTGAAGGACAGTGTGTGCGTACCTGACTAGATGGACGCCAAGTCACTCCTAAATGTTTGGAGGCGATCCTCCATCAGCTCAATAATCCCCTCCTTGATTGACCCGAAAATAACTGGGGTCGCCTCAAGGATACCTCTCGTGATCTCAGACGCGTTGAACTCGCGTAGCCCGTCATCAACCTGCTCGGATCCTGCACCTGAGCCTGATCCTGATCCAGACCCTGAACCTCCTGCTCCATGTTGCGTAATCGACATACTGAAAATAAACACAATGATGTTAGGGTGATATATACTCTCAAGAGATTTCACACACTCTCCAAGTTTCTTGGTTCTATCTCATCCCTCCTTGATTCAAGTATGGATCCTCTGCTTCCAGTAGTACGGGCGTATACTACCTTCCACATCTATCTGTACATTCCTCAAGAATTTTCTTGACTTCACCAAGTCCCTTTTTACTTTCCCCTGCCATCACTGCTATTTCTTCATCTAAATCTTATGGACCGATCACTCCATTTCAACCCACTCTCATCTTCTTTTTCCCCAACCATCTTTAGATCTCTTAGAAAGAAAGAGAGATTGAGAGACGATGGATTGATGTGGGAAAAAACATTGGTGGGAAGAGAAGCACATGTTGGTTCGTTGGTAACAGGGAGATTTTGTCGGATGAAGAGGGGTTCGTTGATGCCTTAGTATGTCTCTTAGTGGATCTTTAACCATGTCGTTTTTTCACTTACATTAGCGATTCAACAATGGGGAAAACCCTCTGGTTTTTTTTTCCACTTACATCGAGCTTAATTTGAATTGATGTTGATAATGTTTTTATTGACCCTGTTCATCCAACTACAACAATTGGGAAAAACCCTTGTTCGTATTTAGGGTTCTATGATCTAACCATTTCCAGATTGCATTTTTTTGGTCCAATAAATGAGTACACTCAAACAGGTTAGGGCGTTATAGGTGTGGAGAGAGACGGCTATAGATAAAGAAGATGGTGTTGGTAGTTGATATGTTTTTTTGTTGGTGAAGAGGTTACACGAGTACAATATTACACGTTTTGAAAAATAAGTGACGATTCATGGAGTTAGGTAACTGATAACGACTTCAGTAGTGCATCAATGTACTCCTTCAACTTTGCTTTTGTAGTTGCACCTTCCATTATGATTAATTATCTATTTTTGACCCATGAATATGACTTTGAGTTATTGGTGAGGTGGAAGAAGAAGATCGGAGAGGGTGGATTTTTTTCTTAAGCGGGGAGAGAGGCAAAGAGAGAGAGAGAGAGAGAGAGAGAGAGAGAGAGATCCCATATTTTTAATTAATAAAAATTTAAACTAAATAGAAAAAAACATAAAAAATATATTAGAAGAGCATTTTAATCTTTTTATTTTTTCGAATGATCAAAATCACAAACAAACATGGTTAAAAGAACCTCCGGTCCAAAAAAGTTGGGGTTTAGACCAACACCCAGAAAAAAATGCATAAGATAGGAACCATTTTTACAGTTTCGTCTTTTATATTAGTCATCTAGGTTATCAGTATATTCACTAAACAATATTGGTTTATTAGTTAATAACTAACTTATCAAAACGAGTTTTTAAGAACTTTTAGTAGCTTTTAACATTTTTTTTAAATGAATTAAGAAAATATTTCAATTGGAAGTATGGGTTTGAAACTTTATATTTAAACAAAAAATTCATAATTTAAAAGTTGTAACTTTTAGATTTATAAGTAATGTTGCATTTTTCAAATGTTTAGATTTACTTTTTAGATTTACTTTTGCCGAACAATTTTACACAAATAAAATATATATATATAATTTCCAGCATCCAAATCACTAGCTTACAACTTGTAGTTTTTAAGTACCAACTAGTTATGCTAAACATAGTCGATGTATTTCAGTACTTGTAAGGTTTAATACTAATTTGGTCAACTGACTAACTACCTACTAGTGATTTTTAAAACCTTTGGAAAAAAACAAATTTGAAAAAAAAAAAAAAACTAATTAATAAATATATGTAAAACAAAATGGTAAACTAAGTTTGGACAAATTTGTTATAATAATAATAATAATAATAATAATATATGAAAATATTTATGACAAAATTAGAACTTGGTCCTAATTATAATTAGGGTTATGAACGAACCGGACGAATATGAACGAACAGAGATAAACAGACATAATTAAATATATAATATAGTAATGTAATTAAACACAATTGAACATAAATGAATATAAAAAGAACTTAAATAAACGACTATAAACAAATGTTTACGAACATAATTGAACGAACGAGACAAATGTTCATATTCGTTCATATAACAAAACGAACGAGAACTTATGTTCATGTTCGTTTACTTGTTAAAATAAATAAACATAAACTAACTTCTTAGCCGATATCATTCGGTATTGTAGTTTAAGACCTTACATGTGCATAGGTTGAATTACATATGTATGGATGTCATTCCCCTTAAATGATTTTAGAACTTCTGAATGAAATCATAAATGTGTTTGTTGATCTTGTCTGGTACTTCTTGAGTGATGAAATGAGCTGCACCTTGGATCACCACAACTTCATCCAACAAAGGCACATATTTCTTGAATCCACCACCATTTATGTACTCCTTCACGCCTGGGATATGATACACCAAATCTAACTCCCCAACAATGAATTTCACTGGAACACTTACTTTAGCATCTGTCCATGGTGCTTCCAGTTCCCAGTTTCTGTATATAATATAATCAACATTTCAAATTTAACATCTAAACAAGGAGGCTAATATTTCAAATTCCACCAAACAATTGTCAAACCAATTTACAGGTCAAAACATCGGTAGTAGTTTAGTCCTCCTGTGAACCCAGTTTGCTCGAATTTTTTGGTGTAATAATCAACATCTTCTTGAGATAGCCACGATGGCAAGATGACGGGAGTATCATGCAAAGCTCCAAAGGGCTTGCCTTTAGGGAAATAAAACGGATCAGTATCACGGTGTGTCAAGAATTTCTCGACAGCTTTTTTGGTTCCAAGACTCGCAAACACAGCTTCTATTTCCCCAGGTTCCTACAACAAAATCAAGCGAGGAAGAAAAATATCAACCCTTTTGTGTCAATTTATCTATATAATACCAAAGATACGGAAAATACAAGAAATGTCACCTGAAATCTGCAAATGTAGTGATCATCTCCGTATGCGCTACGGAATATCTCTACCGTTTTCTGGTGAGGGTTTCTTGGGACAAAGTGAACGCTTAAATTGACCAAGGCTTTAACTTTGTCGGGTCTAAACAGACACAGACGCCAAGCAATTATGGCGCCCCAGTCATGCCCAACAACAAACACCTTATCTGCACCAAGAGCGTCGACGAGTGCGACCATGTCGCCGACAACGTGAAGTGTAGTGAACTTGGTAAGATCGTCGGTAGGTGCACCGGTGGTGTCTCCGTAGCCACGGAGGTCAGGGGCGACCGCTCGGTACCCGTGGGCGGCGAGGTAGAGGATCTGGTGGCGCCAGGAGTACCAGAGCTCAGGGAAACCGTGGAGTAGTAGTACAATTGTACCTTGACCCATCTCTGCAACGTGCATATCGATGCCATTGACGCTTATCATCTTGTGATCTATCCCTTCCATCTTCGTCTCTATCGATTTGGAGCACAAAGTAACTCTGGAAAATTGTAAACAGGAGTCTGTTTGGGTCATTATGGTGCTGCACGTACCCCATAATGATACTATAATTAACTACCAACTACCCTCCATTAGATAATGCACCTACCACTCAAATATAAAGTGAATGCAACTGTTACTATTATTGGGGTGTTTGGGGTTGCTTTATTCAAATTTATAAAAGTGATCGATGTTGATGTTGGTAGATCTTTGACATGACTTAAAATTATTGCAATATAATCAATCATGACTAAATATTTTCTTTAATGGTAATTTGCTTCATTAATTTTTTATAAATTAAACTCCTATAGAAGGGACGTGTTCATTTAGCTACCATTCATTGTTGGGGAATTCCATCCAAATCAACTTCCTTTTGTTGCGTTAATGTGACCATAGAGTGTGCAATGATTGCAAGGTGTTTATTGTAGAAGCTTGAAGGTAACAACATAACTTCTCGTATTAAATTAATGCCTTATGTATTAAAAAAAATTATATATCGTGAAATAAAATTTATAGCCAAACAAAACCATACAAGATGCTTTCATGCATTTTTTGAAGAAAAAAAAAAATAAAAAAAATCTTATTTTCTTTTTATAATTAAAACTTTGTAGACATTGATTGTGAATACTCAAACTTGCTAATCCATTTAATCTTTATACTTTAAAGATTTCCAAAAAACAATTGTAACTAGTATGGTCAATGAAATCTTAAATGTTACTAATACATTAAGCAACATGCCAAATTCCTTTGCAAAACTCCATAAGAATAGAGCCTGAAGTTAGCTAACTAAAACAACAAAGAGAACAAAAACATAAATTGGTATCTGAATTAAATTTCAGATTTTCAGAAAAATTAAAAGAATATCAAATTTTCAGAAATTTGATAGATTAGTTTTTCAAAAATAAAATAACCTATCAGCTTTTAAAAACATCATCTTTTCAGAAATCTGATACATTAGATTCTTCAGAAATTAAATTAACCTCAGATTTTCATATACATCAGATTATTCAGAAATTTAAAATCACGAATCAGATTTTCCAATCAAAAATCACATATCAGAATTCACATATCCAATACAACCTGAAATTAGCTATCCATAACCAAAACATGAACAAAAACATAAACTGGTATGATAATAAACATTTCAGATTTTCATAAATTAAATTAACATCAGATTTTCGGAAATTAAAATAACTTATCAGATTTTTCACGTCAGATTATTCAGAAATTAAAACAAACTATCAGATTTTCATATACATAAAATATTCAGAAAATACAATGTCATGTTATTCAGAAACCAAAAACATATCAGATTTTCCAATCAGAAATCACATATCAAAATTTCAAAATCAGAATTCATATATCCTATGATCAAAATCAGAATCACATCAGACCTTCTACATCAGATTTCCAAAATCAGAATCAACAACTTCACTGAGATTTAAGAAATTTTGATCACTATCAGATTTTTGCAACTTGATTTATTCAATTTAAGCAAGAAATTACAATGGTTCAATCTCTAAGAAAAACATACTGAGATCGATTCGAAGGACGTATTCATTCAACAACCCCTTTGAAACTTCACTTAGCAGGACCAATTAGACCAGTAGAGAACCGTTTGAAACTTCCAAGTTCACAGAGCTCTTAAATTTTAGAATAATGTAATAGGAGATTAGAAGAAATGATTCAGAAACAAGACATTAAGGAGGAAGCCTCCTCGTTTTCTTCATATTTAATTATTAGGCGTTACTTAGATCGAGATATGAGAGCGTGAAATCAAATTTTCATTGGCGCCTAGTGAGAGCTTCCTGCCTATTGTCGGTGGACTTGTCCTGTTAAATCTGGCCCAAATAACATAATACTTATAACAGAATTTAGAATACTTCTGCCTCTTTAATAAGTGATGCCCTCATATAGGCATGCACAAACCGGTTTTTTTTTTATGAACCGGACCGGTTCAGAAAACCGGTTCGGTTCTGGTCAACGTAGGTAAAACTAGTTCACCTGAAAACCGGTTCAGTTCCAAAAAAATCTTAACAGATGTAAACCGGTTCGGTTCTGATCAACGTAGTCAAAATCAGTTTACCTGGAAACCGGTAACCGGTCCAATCCCAAAAAACTCTGAACATATGTAAACCAGTTCGGTTTTACCGGTTCAAAAAAAAAAAAAAAAAAAAAAAAAAAACGGTTCGGCGCATATAAAGTTTTCTATTTTTTTTTTGTTTTTGGGCTAGTAAGTGTAAAATAGGAATGGATTTTTTTTTGTTTAGATTATATTGTTTTTTATTGTGTTTAGCCATAAAAATAATTAGGCTTCACAGTAGGTTTTGGGGGGTTGAATGAATTGGGAAGGCATAAAGCCTGATGGTGATACACACACATATTACATATACACGTCCATATATATGCGAAAAGGTTTTTTTTTCATTTTTTTTCTTTTGTTTCTTGTTTAATAATATACAATGTTGTAAAACTCACCGACTTTGCCTATTACTCCTCCGAGTACTCGCTACTCGGCCCCTAACCAAGGTGAGTTACAGAAATCCGGAGTACTCCCCAATCGGCCACTTACTGAACTGAGCAGTATTGCAAACTCAGCCAACTCGGTGGCTAATATGTATAATATACTTAATGATTTATTATTTAACAAACACATATGTGATTATTACTACATATATATCTTAATTTTCTAATAATTATTCACGAAGTGAGACCATTATATGTTTTTCAGTTTTTGTGTATTCACATATATCTAATTTTATTATATATTTCAATCAACTTATGATTTTGACATATATAAATTTCCTAAAAATATTTCTACATGAATTATCGGATGCCCCCGTATTTTGCATCATTGTGGATGATGGGAGCTAAGGAAGTTACACATATAATTCTTCGGAACAACTAGAAGGGGCAACAAACAATGCTTTCGCTTTTAGGGATAAATCTCTCTTAGATTCGGTTGATTGTACGAATCATGAAAGGAATGCAAATGAGTTATGGAACAATGTGGCTCGTTTAGGAAGTAGCCAAAGACACTCGAGGGGTGTCGTTTGGGAGGCCATGGTGTAACACCGTAAATTTCAAAACAATTTTTTTTATTTTATAAAAACATAATTCATTTAGTATTCGTAAAAACACCCATGTTTGAAATTCAATTCATGTCATACAAAAATCCTAAGATCTCATAATATAAAATCTCGTATGTGTGTACTGATCAAGCCGGCGCCTTCCCACGGTCGTCACTAGACCCTGAAACAAATAACACCAAACACTGTAAGCACAAACCTTAGTGAGTTCCCCAATATACCACATATAACACATATTAGCCACTCGAGGCTATAACTTTGTGGGTTCGTGCACCCAACTCTGTGAACCCTCAGGTTCTAACTCTGTAAACATGCACAACATAAATCACATAGAATAATGCAGTGCAACGCATAACACATATATAGCATACAAGCACTGTATCACATAACTCTAGTTACCTACTCAAGGTAAAGTATAGTGAGAAGACTCACCTCGTGTATCTCGATAACTCGCAAATCCCTGGAATCACTCGTGCTCGATCCCCCGAACTATAATCTTCCTATAATACAATATATCTCTAATTAGCACTTTTACAACTAAGGTTAACTAACCCTAACAAGTCAACACTGGTCAACTCTGGTCAACGGTCAACTTTGATCGGACTCGGCGAGTTTATACGCGTTCACTGACTCCCTCGGATCCTTTCTTGGCACGTCGAGCACTCCCCTAACTCGACGAGTTCCACCTGGCATGAATCGCAGGGCAACCACGACTCAACTCGCCGAGTCTCAAGAACAACTCGGCGAGTTCCGGCTTGACTCAACCCCATATTGACTCTCCCTGACTCACTGGGTTATCCCCCAACCCGGCGAGTCCACTCGCTGAACACTTTACGTAAAACCCCAACCCTACTCGCCGAGTCCCAAGAACAACTCGGCGAGTTCATGCCATGCACACACTTTTATTGACCTTCTGAGGTCAGATCTGCTTTCCCAAACCATAGATCTGGCCTTGCCAAGCATGAATGTCACGTAAAGTTCGAAACTTGACGCTTGTATAACCCCCACAAGGCATCAAAAGGTGATTTGGTCCCAAAAATAACCACCTAGGTCCAATGACTCCATAATAACCCAAAAAGCTCCAATGGTTAAGGTCTCTGGACCTCTTTGAGTCCAGATCCAAGGCACAAACTCGAAGAGGGACCATTTGCTTCACATAATCACTCTCCAAAGGGGTTATAAAACCCTAACTCTAAAGATCAACCCTATAACTGAAGGAGATTCGAACCATTACCTCAAAATGAAGCCTCTGGACTCTGGATCTGCCGGAATCTCACCTCCTCCTTGCTCTTGCCACCTTCCTCTTGCTAAACAAAGAATACAAAGGCCCAAAAGTGACTTCCTCTCTCCCAAAACGAATTAGCTCTCTTAGGGTTCTCTCAAGGGACTGGTAGCCGCAATGGGAGGTTATAAGTGCCCTTAAATAGGCTCCAAACCTGGAGAATTAGGGTTTCACTAAACAGCGTGGACTCACCGAGTCCACTCCTTGTACTCGCCGAGTCCAGACGCGAACCCTCGTCCAAATCGCGATCCTACTCGGCGAGTTTGAGCTCCAACTCTCCGAGTAATAAAAATATAAGAATGAATAATACCTGGGAATTCGGGCTGTTACACATGGTTTTCGAAGAACCATGGTGGTGGAGCTAGGTGGTCCATTAAGATTAAGCAAACTCAGAAAAGACCGATTTTGTTTATGCTTTATAAAAATCAGAGTACTTCTTTTAATAAAAATGATGTGGAATTTGTTCCCAGTAAAACGTGATAAATACGTTATCAAAGCATTTCCAAAGAAAAATATTTTTATGCATTTTAAAACATTTGGGATGTCATCGTTAATATTGAAACATAACCATAAACAGAACTTACATTCATTATCACTAGTGATTTATATCTCATTAATCTCTCACTGTAATGTGACTTCATATCAAAACCTGTTATATAAATAAACTGAGTGGGTCAGGTTGGAAAACCTGATGAGTACATAGGGTTTTCAACCCACAATAAATAAGTTTATTAATTTCATCAACCAACAATAACCCGATTATCCGTTTCCGTTATCCTCACATTACGTCCCTAAAACACCTATCATAAGGGACCTAGACTAAGG